GATTTCATGTTGAACACACTATTACCAAACTGAAAATCAATGGGCGTAACAGATTTAAAATGTGGAAGAGAGTTCAGTTCTACAAACAGAGGATTTGAGAAGAAGAAGAGAGTCCAGTTCAGCATAATAATCAATAACACCAATGATAGATTTGTTCCTCAGTGTTATAATGTAGGGGATGAGCATGGAAGAGAAGTTGCAAAATTCAATGAGACTAATGATATGGGTAACTAAAAATAAAGATAAAAATATCATCGATAATCGATATTATATTATAGTGTGATATTGTTCATGGTGATACAATTGTGAGAAATATTAATATTTATGATAATTTTATCGATGTAAATACTAAGTTACTTTGTACAATCAAGCATGAAGATTGCTTGGAACTTATTGACATTCTTTGTTAATTAATAACCTTGAGGTATTTTATGAAACAAGTAGAGAATATGTTCTCAAACTAGAAAATTTATTTTTCGTCAAGATTGAGATTTTATCATCTTATCTTTCACCTTCAATATTCATGCTAATGTGGAATTTGTTAGAGTTTGATATTTGAAATTCATTTTTAACATGATTATATTTCTTATATTGATTTTAAATTGAAAGTAGAAATTTATAATTACTCATATAAATAGATAATGTGAATTATAATTATTTATTAAGCCTTAGATGTTATCGCAAACCTCTTGTAATTTCCATTGATATAACAATGTTGATAGTAAAAACTTGAGCTCCGAACTTGAAAAAGTTTGAAAAATTATAATAGTTTCTAAAATTTTGCGTATAACAATCGAGAAAATAAATCCACTGATTTACTCTTAAAGAAACAATATAGGTTTGTGATTACAAATCCATCGCCAATCAAGCATATAATTTATTTATTCTATTGAGACCGAACTCTCAAACAAGTAAATGAAAATGGTAAAACAAACAAAAAAAAACATGTTTATAAAGCCGAAAATATAGTAATTTGATGAGGGAAATATCATTAAGCTGATCCCTTGAGCTTCTTTGCAAAGCCAGCAAAATACTTCCCCTGATGGAAAGCCTGTGCTAGCTCGAGCTCAGTCGGCTGTCTCGAACCATCCCCGGCCAAAGTTCCGGCACCGTAAGGGCTTCCACCCTTCACTTGCTCCATCTCGAACATACCGGCACCAAATGTATAACCAATGGGCACAAAAACCATACCATGGTGAACAAGTTGAGTGATTGCAGTTAAGCTGTCCAAAAAAAAATGTTCCCGTTTAGAAATGATTCAAAAGTAGCTAATTTTGATACTTTTCAAATAGCCAAAATGGTGTAAATTTACTCACGCAGTAGTCTCTTGTCCACTTCCTTGGGCGCTGGTGCTGTAGAAAAGCCCGGCTGGTTTGCCGGCAAGGGCTTGTGTTCTCCATAGACCACCAGTTGAGTCCAAGAAGGCTTTGAACTGAGCAGGCATCATACCGAATCTAGTCGGAAAGCCGAAAAGCACACCATCGGCCTCGGCAAGCTCGTCAGGTGTGATGATGGGGGCATCGGTCTTTGGTGGTGCATGCATTTTTCCGAGAACTTCCTCTGGTAGTGTCTCCCGTACCTGTCATAGTGCCCAATTGCCAATATTAGGTTCAACATTTATAAAAGATAGCCCACATTATACTTGCCACTGTAAAATTTCCAACAAATATTAAAATGACTCGATTTCAAAATGATTTAAATCTAGAATTAACCGAAGATAATCGAACCTGCCAAAGTTTGGCTTCTACTCCCTCAACGGAATCAGCTCCTTTCTTAATCTCTTGGGCAAGCTTCTCAACATGTCCATACAAGGAATAGTAACTGCAAAAATAGCCAGTCAGTAAACTTTTGGTTGACAATGCAACAGTTTTCCATATAACAGAGAAGAGAAAGTATAAACTAAACCATCAATGCAAACAAATTAAAGAAGTCAATAACTAAACAAATAAATCCCAGAACCCAAATCAGATGATTCATTAGGGAACAAGAAACAAGAACGAAACTTGATGAGTTTGATAGCTAAATGCAAGAAGAAGAAGAAACAGAGCATGAGCAGAAACAAAGCAACAGATACAGATTCCGTTTTGGATTCAAAGCAGATCAAAAAACAAGGCTTGAATTCTTACACAATGTAGACTTTGGCAACCATCTTGTCTCTTGGATAGCTCTGTTTTCTTTGGGTTAATGGGAATGGTGATTTAAGCAGATGTGTAGAGAACAAGGGAAGGAAGCCCCTGTATTTATAGTGACGTTCTACGAAAAGATATTTTGGTATTTTCTTTTGTCAAGCCCTCTTTTTAGAGAAATTCAGGGGAAATTGGTTTAAATAATATTATAAATCATAAAGATATAAATACAAATATGAACATTATTTTATGTAAATAACAAGGAATCTTCTGCTATTTTATAAACAAGATGTCAGATCCATTGTATGTGGGCATAATAACTATTTTATTAGAGTTGACGCATCATATTTAGATTTAATGTATAGATTTTAGAGTTGTTACGGATAAAGAAATACGATTAGAAATGATCGATTCATATAAAAATAATTTAAACAAAAAATATCATATATAAAGAAGAGTAATTTGATTATATCGATGATAAAGGTTTATCAAATTCTAGAACTCCAATTATATAATTTGCACGAATACATACAATTTAATTAATTAAATTGTACCGTAAGAACCGTCACATCTATCACAAATCATATTTTTCTTTTAATTTATTTTTTATTAAATTATTCTCACAACTATCTTTTTCAATCAAATTAGGATCACAATTAATATTATTAAACTTATATATATATATATATATATAATGTTTGGTTCTAGAAATCATAGTCAGTTGGTTGGAATTTTAAATTTGTTGAACTTGAATGAAGAATGGGAAAATGACTAAAATACTAATCTTTTGACTTTTAAACTCATAATCTGACACGAGTAGTATCTAGTTGTCCAAAACAGTATTGTATATGTTTTAAAATATGAGGTTGAATCTCATAATGACCGAAATTAAAACTTTGTCTCATCTAGGGTTGGTATAAGTTCGAATCTTACTATCGTCATTCTTAGTAGGTAATCTGTAAATTCTTATGTAAATCCCAATTGGGTATTAAGTATATTTTGGCCTTGGACCGGGAGAATCACCCTTGTCCTAAACTTATTTGTAACCAAAATTAAAATAAAATTATGTGATTTTTATATTATTTTCTAAAATGTATGGATCGCCTATAACTCTTTATGTAGAAAAGATTCATGAGAATTTTAATTATTAAATCTGGAGATGGGTCGTTTTAAAAGTCATAGCTAACCCTTTGTAAAATATAAGATATGAAGATGTTACCAAGTCATGGTCATCTTTATGGAGAAATTTAAAAATTATCAAACTATTAATGGGTATGACAGGGTCAGTGTTCTTTTCCCTAATACGTGAGTGCCGTTGCCATGATGGTTCCAGCCGGTTGCTCATGTTCTACATACATATATTTATTCTTTTTTGGCTGCTAAGATAAGGTTTTCACATGGTGAGCTTTTGTTTGAAATTGTCTCTTTGTCTGCAATCTAGAATTGGTACCAATGGCCTTTGACTTGAGGGCCGCTAAAACACCAACTAGATCCTTCAACAGTAATTTCATGTCTAATTTGGTCCCTTAACTGCCGTTCACTGTCATTGCTTGATTCGCCAGCTTACGGTGGCCTCTCCGATGAATTGAAACCGTCGTATGAAAGCCCGGTTGCCTAACCAGTACCACCCCACAACCACCCATCCCACCAAATCAAACATCTAAACTTTTACAAATACGAAGAACATAATTTTCTCTCAAATCAAACGCCAAAGATTCTCACCAACAACATTGAATAGTGAAGCCCCATGAAACCGCAAATCTACATCATATAAGAATGTTTAATATCAACATCATCAAGATTAAGATGTTTGATAAAATTATTTAAATATTTAGGATTTTGAGACGCAGTTTTTAATTTGTAAAAGAATTTGATTTCGTTTAATACTATTGATTCAAAAGTTTACAAGTACTCCAACGAAGGTGGAGTAATGAGAATTTTAAAGGCTCTTTTGTTATGATGAAAAGATATTAAAAAAATATTTAATTTAATGTTTTTCATGATTCAATAATTTTAAGTGGAACAATTGTTGGTTCAAAGGCTAAAAAAGAATTTTAGGTTGAACAAAGAATTAAGAACATGAAAATCTATGGTCGTAACAAATTTGAAAAGTAGGAAAAAAAATAAAGAAGAAAAGAGTTCAATTCACCACGAAGATCAATAACATTAAAGATAAAATTATTTTATCATAGTGTTATACTATTGGAATAGACATAAAAAAGAAGTTAGACCTTCTAAAATTTTAATGAGGCTAATGATATAGATAACGAAAAATAAAGACATCATTAGTGATTGGTATCGTAGTGTGTTACATCGTTCATGATTATACAGTTGTGAATAAAATTGATACTTATGACCATTTTATCCCTGTGAAAAGACTAAGTTATTTTCTACATAAATGCTTCAACATTGCTTACACTGGTTTACATTTGTTGTTGATTAATATTCTTAAGGTATTTCGTGTAGTTAGAGAATATGTTCTTAAGTTAAAAATTTATTTTTCCTCGATATTGAGATTTTGTTGTTTTATCTTTCACTTTCGGTATTGGTGTTAATGTAAAACTTGTTGAGATTCGAAGTTAATTTTGACACGATTATATTTTTTGTATTAATTTTTAGTTGAAAGCATAAGTTTGTAGTTCCTCGTATAACTAAGTGAGTTAGGAATATTTATTACGTCTTTGATGTTGTTGCAACCCTTTTATAATTGTTATTGTATAAATTATTAAGTAAGATTATTTATTGCAACCTTTCGGTGTTAATAGTCAAAATTTCAACTCGAAGCTTAAATTTTTTTGATATGTTGTAAAAATTTACGTATAACGATCGAGATAACAAATCCACTGATTTACTCTTGAAGAAACAATGTAGGTGTGTGATAACAAATCCATCCCCAACCAAGCATATAATTTATTCTATGGAGATCCAGATCTCAAACAAGCAAAATGAAAATGATAAAACAAATACGTGTGAACAAGTTGATCATCAAGCTGATCCCTTGAGCTTCTTTGCAAAGGCGGCAAAATACTTCCCCTGGTGGAAAGCCTGTGCTAGCTCGAGCTCAGTTGGCTGTCTCGAGCCATCCCCGGCCAAAGTTCCGGCACCGTAAGGGCTTCCACCCTTCACTTGCTCCATCTCAAACATACCAGCACCAAAGGTATATCCAATGGGCACAAAAACCATACCATGGTGAACAAGTTGCGTGATTGCAGTTAGGCTGCCCAAAAGAACATGTTCCCAATTAGAAATGATTCAAAAGTTACTAAATTTGATGCTTTTCAAACAGTAAAAAAATGGTGCAAATTTACTCACGCAGTAGTCTCTTGTCCACTTCCTTGGGCGCTGGTGCTGTAGAAAAGCCCGGCTGGTTTGCCGGCAAGGGCTTGTGTTCTCCATAGACCACCGGTTGAGTCCAGAAAGGCCTTGAACTGGGCAGGCATCATACCGAATCTAGTCGGAAAGCCGAAAAGCACACCATCGGCCTCGGCGAGGTCTTCCGGGGTAATGATGGGAGCATCGGTCTTTGGTGGTGCATGCATTTTTCCGAGAACTTCCTCTGGTAGTGTCTCCCGTACCTGTCATTGTGCCCAATTGCCAATATTATATAAGATTTAATTACGAAAATGACTCGAATTTCGAATGATCCGAATCCGAAATGAATTAAACGCTTTAAGATATAGGGGAGATAATCAAACCTGCCAAATTTTGGCTTCTACTCCCTCAACGGAGTCAGCTCCTTTCTTAATCTCTTGGGCAAGCTTCTCAACATGTCCATACAAGGAATAGTAACTGCAAAAATAGCCATTTAACTGAGAAGAGAAAGTATAAACTAAATCATTAATGCAAACAAATTTAAACAACTCAATAGCTAAACAAACAATCCCCAGAACCCAAATCTGATGATTCATCAGGGGAATAAACAAGAATGAAACTTGATGATTTAAAGGCTAAAAGCAGAAGAGAAAAATGCAAGAAAAAAAAAACAGAGCAAGACCAGAAACATAGCAACAGATCCATATTCCAGTTTGGATTCAAACCAGAGTAAACCCAAAGACGCAGGATTAGAATTCTTACACAATGTAGACTTTGGCAACCATCTTGTCTCTTGGCTAGCTCTTGAAAGTTTTTTTTGGGGTTAATGAAAATGTTGTGTTTTAAGCAGATGAAGGAAGCCCATTTATTTATAGTGACGTTTTTGGATTTATCTTTTGTCAAGCACACTTTTTATGAAAAAATGGGTTTGAATAATATAATGCATATGCAATTATAACAAAGAAACCATTTGTCAAAAAAGAAACAAAAGATACGAGATCAAAAAATCTTAAATATGAAAAATGTTCATAAAAAATATCGATGATAAATATAAGGGAATTTCACAAAATTGCATCAAACATTAAAATCTTAACTATACATATATAGTTGTAAGTACATATAAATCATAGTTTAATTAAATTATACCACGAGGGTCACTACATCTACTATATATCCTTGTTTTTCTTTCAATTTGTTTTTTATCAAGTGAATTGCATCGCAAATTTTTTAGATTGAATCTAACGAAATTTGTGTCACAAATTTTTATAAGAATTATTATCATAAACTATGTTGAACTTGAATTAAGAATGAGAAAACAACTAAAATGACTAATCTTTGACTTTTGAACCTATAATCTCGCTTAATCAAGTCGTATCGAGCTGTCTAATAAAAATATGATATGATTCATTACATAGGTTGGAATTTCATCACGAAATTAATTTAACTTTTATGACTTTATGTAGTATTATTTAAACAAGTGAATTGTCTAAATGACTCTTTTCACATCCAATAAAATAACTTGGACACACCATACCAATTATTGAGAGTTATGTGCAAGTATACTCCCCCAACACGAATACTTGTATAACTTTTTGTAAAGTTGTTTAAACGAGATGATTCATACATGAGATACTCTCCACACTGAATCAAAAAGGATCTTGGCATAAAATATCAATGGTTGAGATTTGTGGATATTCAGTCCCGGAATGAGATAATTTAAAAGTTATATTAATGGAAATATTTATTTAATTTCCAAATTGAAATTGTCAAAGTCAAAGTAGGACAGTGTTTGGGGTAATACGTGAGTGCTGTTGTTATGATGGCTCCGCCCGCCTTCATCATAAACACATATTCTTTTTGTCTCGCTACATGGTTTTGAAATTCTTAATGTTGTCTGCAATGTAGACGAATCTAGAACTGGTATTTTAAAAAACGTTATTCTTTTGTTACGTAGCTATCAAGTTGGTTTCTTAATTCAGAACATCACATCGATGAGTTTAGTAAAATATTAATAGTGTTAACAAATTATTTTTAAACATGACTACAATTTAGTTATATAAAGAGTACAACAACTTGAAATATGTTTTAACCTTTCTTATTAATATCAACTCTCTTTACTCTGAAGGTGATAAAATTATTCGAACCCGGATAGATTTTATATCAACTCAATTATAGGGTCATCTTTTTAAAATTATAATTCAGGGCGAGGTGTGTTTTATAAAAGAGATAGTCTGTTGAAAATTCAAAGGGTAGGCACCGAAAATTGAAAGTAAAATCCACCTAATAGAAATTGTCAAAAAGTAGATGATTTTGTTGAATTTTGGTAAAGGGTAAATTACCAAATTTAGTCATTGTAATTTAGGGTATTTGCAAATTAGTTCTTAAGTTTCAACTATAAATACCCTAACTCATTTAGCTTCAAAACCATCCCAAAGCATTCTAGCTTTCTTCCAATACTAGAGAATTTAGAGAGTTTCTTGAGAGTTGTTTTCTCTTTTTTATCAAGAGAGAATTATCATTGTTTTTTCCTTGGTAGATCGAGAGAGGTTGTAATTCCTATTTTCTCATAGTGAAATTCTTCTACTGTTGCCTGTGGTTTTTACCCTATATTATTTAGGGGGTTTTCACGTAAATTTTGTGTCTCTTTTTATCTTCATTTTTATTTTCTCAAATTATCAGTTGCGATTTACTTTATCCGATAGCCGTCTTCCGCAACAATTGGTATCAGAGCTAGATTAGAGTGTGTAATATCTGCTTATTGTCTTTGTGGTTGCCACCAAAAGGTGGATCCTCCAACATAAGAAAATAAGAAGTTATTACCCATTCTTTGAAGGTTCCAGAGAACTATTCACGATAGTGAAATAGTGGGAGCTATCCGTAAAAGAAGCTATGGCAATGAAATTTGATATTGAAAAATTCAATGGGAGAAATTTATCATTGTGGAAATTGAAGATGAAGGCCATCCTGAGGAAAGACGGTTGTCTAGCAGCTATCAGTGAAAGGCCGGTGGATTTCACAGATGACAACAAATGGATCGAAATGGACGGGAATGCTATGGCAAACTTTCATCTAGCATTAGCAGATAAAGTATTGTCAAGCATCGAGGAGAAGAAGACAGCTAAGGAGATATGGGACCATCTCACCAAATTGTACGAGGCCACATCGATGTACAATAAAATTTTCCTTAAGAGAAAATTGTACACTCTCCGTATGCCAGAATCTACTTCAGTGACGGAGCACTTAAATACACTGAATACTTTATTTTCTCAGCTTACATCCTTAAGTTGTAAAATAAGAGAAAAGAACGTGCTGAACTTCTACTTCAAAGTCTACCGGATTCGTATGATCAACTCATCATCAACTTGACAAACAGTAATGTCACTAGTCTAATCTTTGATGATGTTGCAGCTGCTGTTCTACAAGAAGAAAATCGGCGCAAGAACAAGGAAAACAGACAAGTAAATCTACAACAAGCAGAAGCGTTGACAACGATGACAACGATGAGAGGGAGATCAACAGAACGTGGCCAAAGCAGCAGTCACAAACATGGTAGATCGAAGTCGAGGAGCAAGAAGAATTTAAAGTGTTACAACTGTAGAAAGAAGGGTCATTTGAAGAAGGATTGTTGGAGTCTAAATAAAAACTCCAATCCACAAGGCAATACCGTAAACACTTCAGATGATGGAGATGCTCTATGCTGTGAAGCGTCAACCACCGTGGAAGGTAGAAAACGATTTGCATATATATGGCTCATTGATTCGGGAGCAACATATCACATGACCTCAAGAAGAGAATGGTTCCATCATTATGAACCTGTCTCAGGAGGATCTGTGTATAGTTGCAATGATCATGCCTTAGAGATCATTGGTGTGGGAACCATCAAATTGAAGATGTATGATGGAACAATTAAAGTTGTTCGAGATGTGCGGCACGTGAAAGGCCTGAAGAAAAATTTATTATCCTACGGATTGTTGGATAATAATGCTAGCAAGATTGAAACACGGAAATGAATCATGAAGGTGTTCCGTGGAGCGCTTGTGGTGCTGAAAGGCGAAAAGATAGCAGCAAACTTGTACATGCTGAAGGGAGAGACTTTGCTAGAAGCAGAAGCCTCTGTTGCCTCATGTAGTTCAGATTCTGCAATGCTATGGCATCAGAAACTTGGACACATGTCAGAACAAGGAATGAAAGTCCTTGTGGAGCAAAAGCTACTTCCAGGCTTAACGAATGTATCACTTACTTTGTGTGAGCATTGCATAACAAGTAAGCAGCACCGGTTGAAATTCAACACATCAAATTCTAGAGACAAAAGTGTTCTAGAATTGGTTCACTCTGACGTATGGCAAGCACCAGTTACATCCCTAGGCGGAGCAAAATACTTTGTCTCATTTATTGATGACTACTCCAGGAGATGTTAGGTGTACCCTATTAAGAAGAAGTCAGACGTGTTTTCAACTTTCAAAAACTTCAAAGCGCGGGTGGAACTTGATTCTGGAAATAAGATCAAGTGTTTCAGAACAGATAATGGAGGAGAATACACAAGCGAAGAATTTGATGACTTTTGCAAGAAAAATGCATCAAAAGACAGTTCACAGTAGCGAACACTCCTCAACAAAATGGAGGCAGAGCGGATGAACAGAATATTGTTAGAAAGAACAAGAGCAATGTTGAGGGACGCAGGCCTAGAAAAATCATTCTGGGCAGAAGCAGTCAATACCGCCTGTTATTTGGTGAATCGAGCTCCATCAACTGCAATAGAGCTGAAGACACCAATGGAGATGTGGACTGGTAAACCAGTTGATTATTCAAACCTCCATGTATTGGAAGTATTGTGTACGTGATGTACAATGCCCAAGAAATTTCAAAGTTGGATCCAAAATCCAGGAAATGCAAATTCTTGGGGTATGCTGATGGTGTAAAGGGGTATCGCTTGTGGGATCCCACTGCCCGCAAAGTGATCATCAGCAGGGATGTTATCTTTGTAGAAGATAAACTACAAAGAAAAGAAGATGATGATAGCGCTGAAAAGTCAGAGACTACACAGATACATGCGGAAAAGGAGGTTGAACAAGGAGATTATTCTGAAGCAGAACCAGCACATGATGAACAAGAACCAGAGAGTTCAGAAACTCCAACAACTTATCAATCAGATCGTGTGAGAAGACATCCCAATTGACACTCAGATAATGTTATAGAAGGTAATATTGCATACTGCCTTTTAACAGAGGACGATGAGCCATCAACATACCAGGAGGCAATAAACAACTCAGATGCTTCATTGTGGATGATGGCGATGCAAGAAGAAATTGAAGTCCTTCATAAAAATAATACATGGGACCTTGTGCCACTACCACAAGGAAGGAAGCCAATTGGTAACAAATGGGTCTTCAAAATTAAGCGAAATGGTGACGATCAAGTTGAGAGGTATCGTGCAAGACTGGTGGTCAAAGGATATGCTCAAAAGAAGGTATTGATTTCAATGAAATATTTTCTCCTGTGGTTCGACTAACAACAGTTCGTGTAGTTTTGACAATGTGTGCTACATTGAATTTACATCTAGAGCAGCTAGATGTTCAAACAGCTTTTCTTCATGGAAATCTTGAAGAAGAGATTTATATGCTCCAGCCTGAAGGTTTTGAAGAGAAGAAAAGAAGAACTTGGTTTGCAGGTTGAACAAATCTCTGTACGGTCTAAAGCATGCGCCGAGGTGTTGGTATAAGAGATTTGATTCCTTCATTATGTGCCTTGGATACAACAGACTTAACGCAGACCCTTGTGCTTATTT